GAGTAAATTAACTGGCAGCTCCAGGCTGCTTGGAACGCGCCTTTCGCAAGATCTCGCTGCATTTTATGCAGCAACATTTAATGAATGTCAGCTTTCAAAAGCCACTCGAAATTTTGGCTATTTTAGTATTAGACATGTTTTTTTCCAACTATAGAAACAAGGAAAATGCTTGTATTTTAAATGGGTTGTTTTTTGCTGTTATTATAGTAGGCTTAAAAGCATTTATTTTTGAAACTTAGCGTGTTTATTCCCAAACCAGCGATTACCAAGTCAAAATCTTGAGCACTATTTAATAGACGTCCCAAATGAAAGCAGCGCATGGAAGGGGCGCGTGTGTCCCCCCTCGCAGTGCAGGACATACACGGCTCAAACGCTGCCCTTGCGGGCGCCCAGCTTGGTTTCTGGAGCATTGTCTCATCGTCGCCACGTCATCGTTTTGTTGTGATTCTCTTGTGTTCAGATCTTACGAGGATCACTTGTCTTGAGGCAGCGGCAGTTCTGCCCTGGTGCCTTCGTAGTGACCTTGCCGTCCTAAAGCTGTCGATGGAATGAACTGAAACTGTTGCGTTATTGCCAAAATTGAGTGATCTCTTATATCATGACTGTATCGTTTTGCCTCCCTATAACCTTTTCATTTAATGTGTCTAGGACTTTTTAAAAGATGCTTTACCCCTCCCCTCCAAATTTAAGTTCAGACTGTCTTTTAAAATTTTTATATCTTGACAGTCTTGAAGCAAACGTTCAAATGAACCTGGATTACCATATAGTGAAACTTTGGGGTTCCTTTCAGGCATGAAATCTGTGTATTTCTAATACAAGTTGAGCCCAGACCATGTTCAAATAGAACATGTGCAAACTTTGATATGAAAGCAGTGTAAATCTTCTGGGTTATGTTGTAGTTTTGCACTTTTGAATGAGTGTTTCCAACTAAACAGCGTGATGGGGTTTTGATGGGTATGGGTGAATGCAGCCTTCTCTAACCCCAAAATACTAAATTGTGGAAATGGTAGGGAACAGAGTCACGAGGGGGAACGCAGATTGGCGGTGCGGTGGCAGGGGAGTGACGCTCTGGTTTCTTTTGTTATTCGCAGATAATAAAATCACGCAGTGGGAAGACCCCAGGCTGCAGAACCCAGCGATTACTGGCCCAGTAAGTAGCGCTGCGCCTCGGCGCGGGGCGCGGGTGCGTGTGCCGGGCGGCTGAACCCCGCTCGGAGCACGGCCGTGCGTGGCCAAGCGTCGCGGTGCCTGTTCCTGGTGTGGAAGAGCCTGGCTGGTGCAGGGAGCAGGGATAGCGAGGCGCTCGGAGCCGCTCCGGAGCGCGCCGGGTGCTGCCGCGGGATCCTCGGGAATGGCCGGAGCCCGGTTTGCCGCCGCGGCGCCGCGTGGATGGTGCATGGGACGGGGGGCTCTGGGCCTCCCTAGCGATAGACAGGCAGACGGCGATCACAGATTCCCTCCCTAGCTGGGAATCTCTGCAGTCCTTGGTGCTCATCCCTGCTCGCAGGCACTCGCACATGGTGCCAGCTCTCCGGAGCGCCCGCGCAGCGTGCCGGCTAGCAGATGTCGTGGTGGATCCCGCGGCGCATCCGTCACGCGGCCGAGCGGAGGCAGGAGGCAGGGCTCGCTCTTCGGAGGCAGGGCTCGCTCTTCGGAGGCAGGGCTCGCTCTTCGGAGCACAGGGCTCCAGTGTTGGCCGGTTTTGTCCTCCGGCTGCCGCGTGCGCTGCAGCCGCCTGGAGCCCGCACGGGATCCGCGCCCGGCCGGAGCCCAGGAGCAGAAGCTGACAGCCCCGGGGCAGATCTGGCACTTGTGTTTGCTGCATCCTTGATGGCGAAATTCCAGGTGTGGTTTTACTGGAAGTACACCTAAAGGAATGTTAGTGTGAAATAGGCTTTAGGTTTTTTCTCTTTCTTTCTGCAAACATCCATATACTGTAACTTCCTTACTGTGGGACAGCCTGTGCCAGGTCTTTGCACAGATCCTCCCCGTGGCGCTCAGGTAGGATGTCCTGGTGCGGAGCGGCGCGAGGGACTAACACATTCGAAGGAGACATCAAACTTAGTGTAGATAAAACAGTTTTCACAATATGAACCTTAGGAAGAATAAACTCCTGGCTTTAATGTCAGTTTTTTAAAACGTCACATATGGAGTGAGTCTCTGGCCTTTTTAATGCAGTTTTATATCATTTTGTGGAGTCCTGAGTGATCAGATTTCCAACTCTTAAGACCTTTTCAGGTGGAAAGAGTAAGAAATTTGCCAAGAATACTTTTTATTTTGCATAAAGGCTCATGATTTTTAGGGGTCACAGTTCATAGCAGATTAGCTACTGCGTAGCGTTATCCTAATTGCACTTTTGTTAATAAGGTTATTAACAATCGCTCGCTTGAGCATAATTGCTGTTGGACTGATTTATCCATTTATCATGGGCTTAATGCTTGAGATACTTATCTACAGTATATTGTACTAATTCTTATGCTTATTCTCCCAACCTTGAATATAAACAGAAGAGACTCTTTGGAGAATTTTGTTGCAAGATAATCATGGTCAATCTTTATCCCATTAAGTAAATAACTGGATTTTTTTTTTCTAATGAGGAAGCAAGATCAAATCTGTTTTATGGCCACATCATCATTCATCTTAATGATTTTAATAGTATTTTTGGTGCCGTGACAGAAACAAAGACATGCTTAAATTGCATTTCACATTGAATTCAAATAATACAAGCATGCCAAGAGATTCCTTAATGGCTGCAATCAAGTGATATGATCATCAGAGCATAATTTATTTGGATTTTTTTAACCTTTCCCGTCTCATCTTCCACAACACGAGAGCCCCGCGGAGCAGCAGCGTTCGTGCCCCCGCC